TGGTCACGCCACAATCCCTTCTCCTCCATTCTCCTCTCGGGATCTTGGGCACGCACGCACACGCGCCTGGTTTGAGTTTTAAGCCACCGGGTCCAGAACGCTAACTGTGGTCGACTGCGTGGGAGTCCAGCGACATAGCCATTACGCTAACTGCTGGTTCCCTCGTTTTCCCATTTTTAAATTGAGTTAATCATTTTCTTCCAGGAAAGCTTCTTGAGTTCCCTGTGTATTCTGATTATCAGTCCCTTATCTAGTGCCTGGCATGACTTCTAAGCTCCCAAGTCCGGGACATGAACTATGGTTGACTATGTGGGAGTCCAGCGACATAACCATTATGGCATCTGCTGGCCCCAGATTTCTAAGAATTGTCTATATATAGGATCATGTCCTTTGGGAATAAAAGTTTTATTTCCTCCTTTCTAATCTGAATGCCTTTAACTTTTTTTATTCCATTGGTAAGAACCTCCAGTAGGATGTTGAGTAAAAGTTGTGACAATAGACACTTTCTCTTGTCCCTCTTATCAGGAAGAAGACTTATTCAGCCTTTCACATTTAAAGCTTGATGATAGTTGTAGTGTTTTTTGTAGATGTTATTTATCAGGTTGTGGAAATTCCTCTCTTTTTCTAATTTGTTGAGAATTTTTATTTTATATTTTGTTAGTTTTTGTCATAAGGCATGTGTGCTCTTCAGAGAGTGACAGAGATGAGAGAGAAGGAATGTGAGAAACTACCCACCAGTGGGCATGGACATGCCTTCTCCTCCATTCTCCTCTGGGGCATGCACACATGCACCCAGCATGTTTTTCAGTCACCTGGTCCAGGACTCAAACTGCACAGTTGGCCATGTGGGATCCAAGTGCCTTAACCTTCATGCCACCTGCTGCCTCAAGGATTTTTTTATTTTTTAAATATTTTTGCCACAGGGCACACGTAATTGCCCAAGAGAGATAGAGACAGTGGGAGGGAAAGTGAGAAATCATCTCCCAGGGGGCACGGCCATGCCAATATCTCTTCTCCATTCTCCTCCTGGGATTTGGGCACACATGCACATGTACCAGGCATGATTTTCAAGCTTGAACCTCTGTTGGCTATGTAGGAGTCCAGTGCTATAACCACTATTCTACCTGCTGACCCCAGGCCCAAGGAGTTTTTAAAATCAAGAATAAATGTTGGATTTTGTCAATGGTTTTTTACAATCTATTGAGAAGATCAAGTGGTTTTTGTTCTTCATTCTGTTGTTATGGTATATTACATTAATTGATTTTACAGTGTTAAAACTAGCTTGTGGGACCAGCAGTAAGCGTAATGGCTGTGTCGCTGGACTCCCATGTAGTCGACTGCGATTTGAATCCCAGACCTGGTGGCTTAAAACTCACGGTGGGCACATGTGTGTGCATGTCCAAGATCCTGAGAGAATGGAGGAGAAGGGATTGCTGATTTCTCGCTTTCTATCTCTCTGTCTGTCGGCCAGCGCATTCCCCCTTTGGTAAAAACTTCTCCAAAAAAAAAAAAAAAAAAAAAACTAGCTTGTAGTGTTATGATAAAATCCTCGTGGTCATGGTATATACTCCTTTTTATATGTTACTTTTCTTTTTTGTTTGTTTCTGTTATCCATGAGAGATATTAGCCTGTAGTTTCATGTGACCTTTTTACTTTTTTTAAATAGATTTTGCCTTAGGGTACATGCACTCACAGGAGAGAGAGAGACAGAGAAAGTAAGAAATCCCTCCCTCAGAGGGGGATGGCTCTGCCACAATCTCTTCTCCAGGGATCTTGTGCATGCACATGCGTCTGGTGTAATTTTCAAGTCACTGGGTCCAGGACTTGAATGGCTGTTGGCTATGTGGGAGTCCAGGGACGTAAACACTATGCTGTCTGATGGCCCCATGTAAGCCTTTATGGCTTTGGAATCAGAGTAATTGTGGCCTCATAGAATGAATCATGAAATATTTCCTCACCTTTTTTTCCTTTCTTTTTAAAATTTATTTCTTCCATGAAAGAGTCAGGCACCCTCACAAGGTCTTTATGCTGCAGTTCCCCCCACCCCATCTCAATTGGGATGGATCATGTACAGCATGTGTGTTTCTGGTGTGCTCAGGGAAGTCCTGGAATGTGAACCCAAGACCTTTGCCTTGTTGGTCTAGTTGTATTACCACTATGTCACCATGACCCGCTCCCTACCCCTATTTTCTAGTGGAGTATGTGTAGAATTGGTATTGTTTCTTATTTGTTTTTTAATTGCCAAAGCATAAGTAGAGACACTTGCTAGAGACAAGTAGAGAGATTGTTAGTGGATGGGAGAGTGTCGAGCTGCGTTGTGAAATTCATGGTTCTTTGGGTCCAGATCACTAGAATTAGATCAGTCCCTAGGCGCAAAATGAAACTGCAGCCATGAATGAAGTAGGTAGAAAAGAAAATTTAATAGGAAAGAAAGTAGAGGAAAGAAAGGAAGTACACCCAAAAAGGCTGTTGGGTGGGCAGATTGCCAGGTGGCAACCACACTCAGCACTGATCAACTGTCATTTTATTACTAGAGGTCATGAATATTCATTAGCGGGAGGCCCCTTACGCTGCCTATATTCTTCCTTTAAACATGTTCCTTCTTGCACCTGCACACCTCCCTCACAGGTAAAGAATGAGGAACTTGATCACCTAATTGTGCGTGGTGCCCAATGTGAGCCAGGTTGCCCCAATTAGACTGCCCAATGAGTCCATCGTCCTAATGGGAATTAGGGCACTGACCAAAACGCTTGCTTAGGTCTTTTTGATAAGAGAAATATCTACGAATCATCCCTGTGTACTTCTCTCAGGCCTCAAGGAAGATAGCAAATTGCCTCAACCTCCTGGCACCTGGGGCTGGATGAGCCTTTCGCTTTTCTCTTAGGGCTGCCCGCTCATGACTAACTGCCTACCACATTTCCCCCTCAAGGACTTAAGACCCTGAAATCATGCAGGGAAAATGGGCCGAAGGTTTCTTCTTCTGTAGCTTCTTCCAGCTGACAAATGGGCTGACGAGAGGGGAGTCAGAGCCTCAGTCCTTGCTGTCAGGCTGGCCCCAAGATTAGGCAGAGACTTTAGAGGTGTCCTCATATGCATTACGGAAGACTGTAACAAAGACTGTAATCGCTGCATCTAGAGGAAAAAGGCTAATGTTACTAGGCACTGATAATGTAACACAAAGATAGATTGTATTTCGTTGACAGTAAGTTTAGTAAGGGCCTGCAACAACGGAGGGCCAAAGCTTATAATTAAGATGATTATTGCAACTGGACACGCAAGTGGCAACAAGAGATTTAAAACAGCAGTACGATTAACAAGAGTAAACATTAGGACGAACTTGAAAAAAAGGCAATGTTGTCACAAATCCTTGAGTAAGAAAAAATATAGGAGGAAGAAGGCTGGGTTCATATTACTTATCTGAGGAAGAATTCTTCTTGAAAAGAAATCGAAGGTCTTCCAGAGACTCACAGGTGTAAGTGTGAGAATTCTGGTCAGTTCCCAGGTCAGCAGCCAGCTTGATCCATGAAATGTGGATCCAAGTGGGAATGTTTGCCACTTTTACTTGGAAAGTGTTAACTCCTAGAGAGGTAGCTGCTGGCAAGACTTGGTCTCCATGAGACTGGAGAGCCTTTTGGATTTGAAAAAGTGTAATATATTGCTGGATGGCATTAGTTTCTGCATCTATTACTATTGTCTGTGTGAAGGAAAGGCCTTTCCTACTCATGTTTGGCAATTTGCCTCATAACCTTAGATAAGCTTTTGCCTACAAATATAGAGTTGCAGAGGTTGATTAAAGAATTTCTTCTGGGGGGCCAGCAGGTGGCATGGTGGTTAAGGGTGTTGGACTCCCACATGGCTGACCATGGTTTGAGTCCCGAACCTGGTGGCTTGCTTTCTCACTTTCCCTCTCTATTTCTCTCTCTGTCCCTCTCTGGTCAAATTAAAATAAGTAAATAAAGTTAAATAAAATAACTAAAAAAAAAAAAAAAAAAAAGAATTCCTTCTAAAATGACAAAAGTCATGAAGATTCTTTAAAATGATTTATTGTTGGGCCATGGGGAGACGGAAGCTTAGCTCTATTTGTAAACCAACCACGTGGGCCTTTGGCATCGTGATAGCCTTGAAGGAGCGTTCTCCATGTTAATTGCTGAGGTGCTCCCTTCTCTCTTTACTCAAAAGTAAACAAGAATTGGGAATCTTTTATCTATTGGAATGCAAAAGAAAGCATTCTTAAGATTTAAAACTGAAAACCAATGAGAATTTGGGGGCACCTCTCCCAGAATAGATAAGGGTTTAGCACCATTGGGGGAATGGGAATAGCTTCCTCATTTATAGTTCCGAGGTCTTGCCCACTGGAGAACATCACCTAGTCCTTCTTTACTGCTAGAATGGGGGGCTCACAGGGGGTTAAAACACCAACCTGTAGGAGTCTAATAATTATTGGTTGAAGCCCTTGAATGGCCTTAGGTATAAGCAGGTATTTTTTTTTTTTTTTATGTGGGGAGATATTAAGATCCGTAAGCCTAATTTTAACAGGTACAGCTGTTTTTGCCCTTTCTGGTATGCCCAGACTTCTGGATGATTTTTTGAGTGAGGTCAGTTTGTTGACATACTTTAAAATCAGGGTTTAATAATAGACCCAACAAGGCAAATATGTTATGTTTTAGTAACAATTGAGCACCCAATTTACTGAGGATATCCCTTCCCATAAGGAGAGTAGGGCATGGAGGTATAATTAGAAGTTGATGGGAGAAAATTGTGTCCTCCCAAGTACAGCAAAGAGCTGGGGTTAGAGGGCAGTGAGCAAGTTTACCTGATACTCTCACAATGAAACGAGAGTCAGAGGAGGGGGCTCCAGCATAAGCAGTAAGTACTGAGTAGGCAGCTCCCGTGTCAATAAGAAAAGCATGGGTCCTACCTGCCACGTCCAAGGTCACCCTGGGCTCCGATCCCATGGTGTTGAAGACTGTGGTGGGATCCAACTGGAGCAGAGGGCGTCCTCATTGGAGGGCCACTATTAAGTCCTCTTTAGGGTCTGACCCAGGGGGTCCCAGAACTCCCGGGGCAGTCCCTGGCCCAGTGACCTGATCGGCCACATGTGGGGCAAGGCTTTTGTGGAGGCTTTAGTAGATAGCCGTTCTTCTTGTCTTCAGGCTTCTGACAATGATCACAGGTCACTAGGGATTTCCTAGGGTGACCAGGAGGTGACTTTTACCCAACCAAAGCAGCAATGAATTGAGCCTGCCCATTTTCCTTCCGCTTTTCCTTTGCCTTCACCATGTCCTCTTCCTCTAGGTCTCGTTTGTAAAAGACTGAAGAGACCACCTTCAGAAGTTCTTCTGGGGGGTGCTAGGTCCTAAGGACAGTTTTTTTTTTTTTGGAGGGGAGTGGGGAGCTTTCTGTGGATTAAAAAGCTAAGGTTAAAGTTTTAGGCTCAGGTTCTAAATCTTGTTTTACAGTCTCTGGGAAAAGTGAGGAGGGAACAGTTTTGATGGGTGGAGTTGCTGGTGATAAACAGCCCAGATAAAGCTTTGGGTCAGATCTGAGGGCCACAAAAGCCTGAATGTATGGCACCTCAGTTCACTTTCCCTGGTTCCTACATAGATTATCTAATTGGATGATGGAATGATAATCTAAGGTCCCATTTACTGGCTGAATTATTCCCTCTGGCAACGTGTATTGTGGCCATGCAGTATTACAAAGGAAAATGAGCTTCCTCCTCTTAAGAGACTGAGAGTCAAACTGATCTTAGTGAGAGAGGATACACCCCAGTGGGGAGTTTCTTGGAATCAAAGAATTATAATTTATAGCAATGCCTAGAAAGGCCCGAGGCGTACCTGCAGAACCAGTCCAGGTAATAAACCTGGAGCTGGTTGCACTAGCCGCCTGGAGTGAAGAGAATGTAGGGAGACGTCTCTCCTCCATACCCCCGGAGTTAGTGCACCTATCTGAGGGCCTGTGAGCCTCTAATTACCCCGTCCGAAGCCTGGGACCATTTCCAAGAGGGTTTCTCTGAGCATTCCCAGTTTTCTACCTAGAAAGTCTGAAAGGAGAAGTTAAAACCTCTTCCCCGGACCCATTTCCAGTGTCACGTGAGACTCGTCAGTGGTCAAAACCTCTTCCTCGTGCTCACTAGTATGAAAAAGCACCTAAAGAGGCAAATGCCATGTACAAAAAAAAAGTGGATTAATGGCAAGGAAAAAAAATTTTCGGGAAAGCTCTTGTTAGCAAACTTTATACCCCAAAATTGTAAATCTGGAAAAATAAAAGGCAAGAAAGAAGATAGAGTGCCCAGGGCTCCAGAAATCCAAAACCCAGAAGAAAAAGTGGCCAGAAGTTAGAGCTGGAGACTGCAGAGAGCCCGGCGAAGCGTGGCATGGTTTATACTCACAGACCTCTCTGATGTTTCAGGGGAAGACTCGGTGGTTGCAGCGGGGAGAGACCGGTCTGGAAAGCACCTGAAAGTACAACCCGAGTCACGGCACCATTATGTGAATGGATGGGACAGTGTCGAGCTGCGTTGTGAAGTCCTTGGCTCTTTGGGTGCAGATCACTAAAATTAGAGACTTGTCCCTAGGCGTAAAGTGAAACCGCAACCATGAATGAAGCTGGGAGAAAGGGAGATTTAATAGGGAAGAAAGGAAAGAAAGAAAGTACACCCAAAAAGGCTCTTGGGTGGGCAGATTGCCAGGGGGCAACCGTGCTTGAAACTAGTTAACCCTCATTTTATTACTAGAGGTCATGAATATTCATTAGTGGGAGGGCCATTATGCTGCCTATGTTCTTTAAATTTGGATCCACATGTTCTTTCCTGCACCTGCGCACCTCCCTCACAGGTAAAGAATGAGGAACTTGATCACCTAATTGTGCGTGGTGCCCAATGCGAGCCAGGTTGCCCCAATTAGACTGCCCAATGAGTCCATCGCCCTAATGCGAATTAGGGCACTGACTGAAGTGCTTGCTTAGGTCTTTTTGGCAAGAGAAATATCTACTAATCATCGCTGTGTGCTTCCCTCAGTCCCCAAGGAAAGAAGATGGCAAATTGCCTCGCCCTCCTGGCACTCGGAGCTAGATGAGCCTTTCACTTTTCTCTTAGGGCTGCCCACTCACGACTAACTAACTGCCTACCACAAGATAAGGGGTAGGGAGTTGGAGTGGGGAGGAAATTGGACCCCCCCCAAGGGGGCATGGTCACACCACAATCCCTTCTCCAGTTCTCTGTTCTATCAAGATTTGAGGCACACATAAGAGCCCAGCATGCTTTGTTAAGCCTCCGGGGCTGGGATTCAAACCTCAGTAGGCCATGTGTGATCCAGCTCCCCTAACCACGAGGAAATGGGCTGGCTTAACACTTGGTTTCTTTTGAAAACTAGATTCCTAGACTAGAGAGTTTGATGCAGGAGGCTTCTGGGAAGGGATCTGTCATGGTTCTCAGGCCCAGGTAAGCTGAAGGAAAGCTTGTTAGAGCAAAGAAATCTCTAAAGCCATGGTTGTTAAAAGTGTGGTCTCTGGCCCAATAGAATCCACATTACTGGAGAACTTGTAAAAAATGCAACTTTTGGGGCTGGTAGGTGGCATGGTGGTTAAGGAGGCTGGACTCCCACATGGCTGACCACAGTTCAAATCCCGGACCTGGCAGCTTGCTCTCTCTCTCTCTGTTTCTCTCTGGTCAAAATTGAAAAATAATAATAAATAAATAACTCTTAAAAAAAAAGACAGCTTTTCAGTTCTCCTCCAGATCAACTGAATCTCTGGGTTGGGGTTGAGGTCAGGGCTGGCAATCTGGTTTTCATCAAGCCAGGTGGCTCTGATAGCCACTCAAATTTCAGAACCATTGCATCAAGGCATCATTACCAGCACCCGGAGAAGCGACTGAGCAACCCTGTGACTAGGCTCTTAAATGGCTTAGTTTTCAGGTGTTCAGGTCAAAGGGTAAGAGCAATTTTTTTTTTTTAATTTCTGAGAGTTTTTTATTTGCTGTAGGGCGCTTGCTGGAGAGGTGGAAAGATAGAAAGCGGGAAATCACCCCCCAGGGGGAATGGCCACACCGAAATCTCTTCTCCATTCTCCTCTGGGATTTTGAACTTGCAAGCACATGTGCCCAGGATGAGTTTTAAGCTCTGGTTTTGGGACTCCAGCCAATCACCCTGGCAGTCCAACAACGTAACCATTACACCGTCTGCAGGTCCTGGGTAAGAGCAATTCTTAACAGACACCTGGAGAAAGACCAGAAAATGGTTTTCAAGGCTAGCCTCCCGGAAACCAAGGAACGCTTTTCCGTAGGAAGGGGCGCCATATCTTAGACATAGAAAAGGCTGCGCAACACAATGGCGGTGAAATTTCCGGCCTTTTTGCAGGTATGACTGGCGTTGGGGCCTCACATACCCAGGAGGTTCCCAAAGCTGTCCATCAAGAAGTCTTCTAACTTTGTGTTTTCCCCCAGCTCAGACAGATGCCCCTAAACTGGGCCTGCCAGGTGAGACGCCAAAGCTTTCCAACCTCACAATCGGCTCTTGTCATGTCATTGCCACCCTCAGGCACGCCCCTCCTAGCCTTGGTGACGTCAAAGAGGCCCCTGTCTTCCAGTCCAGGGCCAGGCCTGCCCGCACCAGGTAGCGTGGGTTTGGGCTGCAGAGGCGGGGCGGCGGCCTGCACAGGGAGGTCACCGGGCGGGCGGCGCCCAGTCCATGCCCCGTGCAGCTCCTTGACGCAGGCCTGCTTTGGGAAGGAAACACGTCAGGACTTTGCAGAAGGGCCATTTTAAAGTTGTTGTTGTTTTTTCCCCCCGAGTAAATATTCAGAACATTTGTTAAAAGCCCTCGAGACTTGGCTCACCTTCGCTGGAAGGTTGGAGCCCACAGGCAGCTGCAGCTGGGCTTGCTCTGAGGGACGTTGGGTCTCAGGATGGCCCCTGTGAAGAAGTGCATCTGCGACCTGTGCTCCTGCGGGTAAGGTGGCTACGCTCCGGGTAAGGTGACTACTCTGGCCAAGGCTGTGGAAGCCTGAAATTTCAGACTCCAGCAAGCGAGGCCCTGGCCCCCAAAATGAGGCTGAAGCCCCCTCTGGCAGCGTCACATGGATTCACCCACTTGTCACTCTTGTTAGGCTGCGGTGTTGTCAGCCAGCGTTTAATGCACCCGTGGTAAATCAGACAGGGTGAACGTGACTGTATTGGGATGTTTTTCTGTGTTCCTGCACTTGAGAGCTGCACCGAGGTTGAAAATGGGCACAGGCCTGCAGGATTAGTGCTGCCTTCCCTGCAGCTGGAAAGTGTGACAGCAGAAAACACCTGGCTGGGAGGGAGCTGACATAGGAAACACCTGGCCCGGGGGCGCCATCTTGCTTCTTTTCTTGCACTTTTTTAGAACAGAGATGAGATGGGGAAGAGAATTCCTTTAATATACCTGACTTTTTCACTCAGAGAAATGATTACTTTGTCAGAGAAGTATAAGGTATTTCTGTAAACCTTGTTTCACACTGTATGGAGTTGAACACAAATGATGACAGGAAATCACTCTGGCAGATCTCTCTCCCTCAAGTCGGATGCCTGGGTGAAGCACCTAAAGGCAGGCCTTTCTGGGGGAAGTGGTAGGCCACAGTCGCAGTTCAGAAGTTGACTAGTCTGCTGTATCTCAGCCTCTGAGATGCTCCTCTGACCTTCCCCCGACAGCTGGGGAACTGCTGGCCTGGGGTAGTACCAGGTCGGGGTGTGCTCGGCGCAGCTCTCTTGGAGTCACTGGTTGTAGGATCCTGGGAAGTCATTGAATTTCTCCAGGTCATAGTTTCATCATCCCTGTCAACAGTACCTGCCTCAGAGAACTGTTGTTAGAATTAAGTGAAATAATAATATGCGTGACTCCTGGTTCGTGGATTGTTCTTCTTTTTTTTTTTTTTGAGAGGTTTTTGTA